AACACAATGACCATATAGGTATAGAATGGTTCTAAGTATATTGGTTGTTAAGGCCAGTGATCAGGTGGCTGGCTGGGTACTGTGGCTCACTGCTGCTGTCCAACATCACAAGAAATGATCTACAGCACATGGCGGGGGGTGCAAAAGATTAACATTCAAAATTTGAAGTAGGGTTTCTACCGAATGTGAATCGCTTGCACAGCACTGTAAAGTTGAAAACCGCTAAATTGAACAATTCTAAATTTGGGATTGTATGTACTAAAAAGTGTAGGGAGAAAAAGTTGCGGGTAAGAAATGAAGGCGCATGGAGGCTTTGTGGGGAAAGCAAAGGTCAAAGCAATTTCATGCTAAAATGTAACAATCACTGAGATTTTCCAAGGTTTGCTCATAGGGACAAATTACAAGGGTAAATTTTCTGAGTAAGATGCACATTTACCAAGCTCAATGTTTCTGATCACTGCCATTTGAAGTTTTTGTTGTTGTTATTTTATTTCCATTTGAAGTTTTGATCCTCAACTCATTGGAAACTTACCCAACACTATGCATGACCTCTTGTGTTTGTCTTGTACTGCTTTTCAACTCTCGAAATACTGAACTTTTTAATGTCTTGTCTCCTCAAGGCTGTAAGCTTTTTGAGAGACATAGCTATATCATGTCCCCAACCCCCATTCCTCACCAAGGGGGTCACAAAAAGCTAAATTAATCTACTGAATCTTTAATGCTTCCAGGTTTTGAATGCCCTTGGGGTAGGCATCCTGTAAATGGACACTCAACAGATTTTTAGTGAAAATCTAATAACCTGAGAGCCCAGCCAGTACATATTCTAAGTCTGCATGTTTGTACTTTAAGGACAAAAGTTTGCTTAGATTCAGAGTGTGAACTTTTTTTTTTTTTTTTTTTAACAGTGTGCTATAAGTATTAAGAAGGAACTCAAAGTTCTTTGTATTCTATGCTCTATCACGGTGCAAAGCAATGGGTGATCTGGCCTCTGGGTTCCTCCCAAAAAGCTGAACACGCTGATGCTGAACACGACTCCTGGTAACATGCCCCAAAGCCCCTCGGCACCCCCATGTGATCTTTGAAGTCCCAATCCGCCCCCTTACCCCCCAGGGACACTTTCAGTTGAGAGTTGTCCTATGTCAGCGTCCACATTGCCAGGCTATAAACCAAACGCAAACTCAGGGCTCTCAGGACAGGCCCACAATGAGAAAAGTGGAGCAGCAAGCGCAGGAACACCACCAGGAAGCAGTCAGAGCCCCCCTTCCCAGAGTTCCCTTCCAAAGAGAAGCCGAGGTAGCAAAAGCGCATTTGTACGTGCCAGACCTGTCTGCCCAAGTGACGGGCGCGTTCGGGGGACATTCTGAGCAAGAGAGCGAGGTCACAAACTACGCAAGGTGATAAATCCACCTCGCGGCCAGGGTGTAGTGTGCCAGGGAGTATGTGAGCATGTGAAATCGGCTCCGGAACCTGTGGCCGCGGAGCCCCGCCGGCTTTGTTCCCGAAATGTGATTGAAAGAGCCGAAACCGGGCTTAAAGAAGGCAGCGTTTGGTGGCGGGAACTCGTCGTCTCCGCAGGGGCTTGGGCAGCGCGCGAAAGTCGCCATCAGGCTCACCGGCCCCAGCCAGCCGCTGCGCTGGAATCCTGCAGCGGAGACAGTCTGCCTGGCCCATGAGCGGAGCCCGGAGAGGTCGTGGCCCGGGTCTGCAGCGTCCCCCAGCCAGCGCGGGCTGCCCCACGCGCCCGCCACTCCGCTGCGCGGCCAGCACAACATTCCATTTAAAAATAACACCCACGTGCGCTGGTAAACAAGCGCGCGCGGCTACTGCTGCCGCGCGCCCCGGGTGAGCCAGTTCGGCGCGCGCCCGCCCTCCTCCCGCACGTGTCTGCCGGCTCCGCCCGCGCCGCTCCGGCGTGTCTCACTCTCCACCCCGTCGGACTGCCGCGCACCGCCCAGAAGCACCAAGCCCGGCAGCTCCAGGGCCCTAGTGTCCCTCTACTTTGGCAGGCGCGCCCCGCAGGGTGCTCTCCAAGTTTCCTCTCCCTACACCACCACCTCGCAGCAGGACCCATCGCCCCAGGTCTGCTCCCCTTCTTCCCTCCTCTGTCCTCTCAAGTCCCCCGCCTCTGAACTCTCCCTCAGCGCGCGAAAGGTTGGCTTCAGGTTCGCCCTCTCTTTCTCTCCTCTCCTCTCTGTCCCCTCCTTTCTTCCTTAGAATTTTACTCGATTGTTTATTATTTGCTGGGGGGCGGGGGCGGGGGGCGGAGAGGGGTGTCTGGGGCCTGGAGACTGGTGCCCGCGGCCAGTCAGCGCGCGGCGTGGTTTGACGAGTAGGCGGTGCAGCGAATGGGGACGCGGCGCAGAGCTCCCGGGTCACGCGCGTGTGGATACAATGACATCATCTGTTTGTACGCGTCGAACTAGCTTGGTGCAGGGGCGGGGCCGCGCGTCACTTGAGTGACGGGCCCTGCGCAAAGCCCGGAGTCTGGAATTGGCTGGGTGGGCGGACTCCTGAGTACCCTGGGTTGGACCTTTTTTGTGTATTGGGTTGTTGAGGAGCGAGCTCTGGACTCTGAGGTCTCCAGTGACTGACAAAGATTTAAGAAAAAAGGGGGAAAAAGATATTTATGAACCAAAGTGAATAGAGCTTTGGTGTGCGTATCGCATGTAGTGCATTGTTAGTGTACAAATGAACAATTTAGGCACTGATAATAGGATAAGGACTCGTGAAGATGTTTTCCCAAACCTAAAGAAGCTTTAAATAAAAAAACCCAAAACTTAAAAATGCACAATTAGCTGTTCTGGAGTCATTTACAAATTAGAAGCAATTTAGTTCCCATTCATAATTGTTCAAAATCTGCCCTTGCGTTTAGGAATGGGGGAAAATTTGCATTTCTCCCGAGTTAGTTACACTTCTCCCCTCATTTGCCAAGAAATCCACGACAAGTCGAGCGTCCTAGGTAAGAAACTCAGCTGCAAACCTTTTGGTGCCTGATCAAATCTGAGGGCGTCAGTTTATCGAAGTCTTGTATGGCACCAACATCTTCTCTTGTCAGTATTTCCACGCCGAGGTAACCTCTGCGATCTGCGGTCAGCATCTTATCTCGGGTGTTACCTGGTGTCCGATTCTAACCGGGAACCGGACACCAGGGCGGGCCCAGAGCCTGACGGGCTGACGCGCCCGCCGGGGACCCTCAGTACCAGGCGCCCTGCCCGGAGTCTGAGAGGCCGCGCGACTGCGCTCATGGAGCGTTCGGGGCTCTGCTCTCCCCCTCCTTCTTCTCCTAGGCTGGCGCCGCGCTTTGTTGTCGTTGAGACTCTTGGGAGGAGGAGCCCAGCGAGGAGGGCTGCGGGAGCCCGCCTAGTCCCGGCCCGCGGCGCGCGCCCCGACACCCACGCCCGCAGTCCCGCGGAGCCGGGTCGCGCAGGCGCGCGCGCGAGCACACATATACACACACGCACACACACGCACGCACACAGCACACCCGGGCCCGCCGCCCAGCCCTCCCCTTGGGCGGGGACCCGCCCGCCGTCAGCTTAGGTTGAGGCACCCTGCGTGTGTCTATAACTTTGTGCTGCTGCCGCGGCCGCCCTGCTCGTGTAAGGGAGGAGGAGGAGGAATGTGGAAGGCGGCGGCGCGCAGGCTGACAGGCGTTTCCTCAGGCGGGCTGCGGCGGCAGCCGGAGCGCCTCTCCTTCGCCGAGGTTGCGCGCCCCCTCCTCGCCGTGCCCCGGGCCCGCGCGGGATTGTGCGTCCTCCCCACTCGTCCCTGAAGGGAAGGAACTGAGGTAGGCGCCGGAGCTTTGCAGCGGGGCGGCCGCCTTCCCGGTGACTCCGGATCTGCTTCCGAGCTGGGCCAGGCGCTTCCCTTTTCCCTCCCCGTGACTCGGTGTGCGCGCCCCCTTTCCCTCCCGCTAGTGTTTTTAAAGGACTTGAGTGAAGGGGGGAAAACTGTCAAGATGGCAGCAGCGGGAGCAAGGAGGTGATGAACGTGCTGGTCCGGGTTTTCTGGCAGCCCGGGAGACTTGGCGCTTCCTGACCTGTTGGAAGATTTATGTTCCGACTTGTCCCCTCCCCGCGTTCTTTACAGGGAAGGGGGTGGAGGGTACAACGTCCGCGAGCAAATAAACCACACAAAAATCCAAAGTGGTCGTTCCTGCTTGGCTCGACCCTTTGCAAACACCCGCCGAGCTGCTTGCCCCCCTGCTTCCCGTCTGGTCCTTTTTCTGGAAGTGTCAAGGGCCGGTCCGCGCTCGGACTCATGTTCGCCTTCCCGGCCCGCGGGGCCAAGAGAGGAGAAGGTGGCTGCCCGTGCCGTTCCCGGGCTCGGGCCCCTCGGCCAGGAGAAGGGGTACAAGGGGGCGCGGAGGCGGCAGGGCCAGGGGCGAGGAGGAGAAGAGCGGAAGACGCCACAGACTTTGGCTGCGGCGCCGCGGGAAGCACTTGAGCGGGCCCGAACGAAACATAAACAAACGCACGCCCGCTCGGGCTCCTACCGCCGCTCGGCAGCGCCAGCTCCGGCCGCTGCCCGCTTTAAAGGCGCGGCCCGCGCCCCTCCCCCGCCCCCGCCCCTCCCCCTTCTTCCCCGCCCAGCCACCTAGCCCAGGAGGGACCTGCAGATCTGGCGGCCGCGGCGGCGGGGGGAGGGGGCTGCCCCGTGCGAGCCCGTCGATTCGCTCCGGTCTCCCCCGAGGCCTGGCCAGGGGGCGGTGTCTGCTGCGCCAGGTTCGCGGGACGCACGTCTCCAGGTCTGCCTGCTTCTAGGAGGCGGGCGCCGTGCGGCCGGGAAGCGGCGGTAGGACTCGCCGAGGACCGGGCTCCAGCCCGGGATAACGAACTCTCCTTCTCTCTCCTCTCGTGCTTCCCCAGGCGGCGGCAGTAGCGGCAGCGGCTCCCGGGAGCCCGAGCCTTCGCGGCGCCCCCGTCCCTCCCCCGCCGCACCCCGCCCCGGCGCTAGAGGAGAGCGCGAGAGCCCTAGCCGCGGGCGGGCGGGCGGCGAAGATGGCAGAGGCACCGGCCTCCCCGGCCCCGCTCTCTCCGCTCGAAGTGGAGCTGGACCCGGAGTTCGAGCCCCAGAGCCGGCCGCGCTCCTGTACGTGGCCCCTGCAGAGGCCAGAGCTCCAGGGGAGCCCGGCCAAGCCCTCAGGGGAGACGGCTGCCGATTCCATGATCCCCGAAGAGGAGGACGATGAAGACGACGAGGACGGTAGCGGTAGGGCCAGCTCGGCCATGGCGATCGGCGGCGGCGGGAGCGGCACGCTGGGCTCCGGGCTGCTCCTTGAAGACTCGGCCCGGCTGCTGGCTCCTGGAGGGCAGGACTCCGGGTCCGGGCCAGCCCTCGCGGCGGGCGCGCTGAGCGGGGGGACGCAGACGCCGCTGCAGCCTCAGCAGCCACTGCCACCGCCGCAGCCGGGGGCGGCTGGGGGCTCCGGGCAGCCGAGGAAATGCTCGTCGCGGCGGAACGCCTGGGGAAACCTGTCCTACGCCGACCTGATCACTCGCGCCATCGAGAGCTCCCCGGACAAACGGCTCACTCTGTCCCAGATCTACGAGTGGATGGTGCGCTGCGTGCCCTACTTCAAGGATAAGGGCGATAGCAACAGCTCGGCCGGGTGGAAGGTGCGTACCCACCTCGGGCGGGCGGCCGGACCCGCCGGGCCTCCTGCGCAGTGCGAGACGCGCCTTCGATTCATCGGAGCGCGCCTGCGGGCGCTGGGGAGAGGGGTTGGTAGCGAGAGCCTCCGCTGTGAGGTTTCGGGGGATCTGTGTGACCC